ACAGAGGATATGCTCCTGTCCAGTTTGCAGAAAGCCCCAAGACATGTATTCTTAAATTTGGAAACTATTTTACTGAATAGTTACGACGTAACCTGTTACTTAATCATCAGTTGATTTTAATCATCTAGTTATTTAGCTCCCATGGTATATATAGCAGGTTTTAAAACCAGAGAACACACCTCCTACTCTGGAGAGGATTCTATTCTCATATCAAAGATGGGGCCTTGGAGACTACCTGGGTTAGCCTTTTGATTTATAGAAAAACCTAAGAATGTATTCCCCCCAAATCCAGTATTCTAGGGTCTGAGCTATAAGTTAAATTTGTCCAGTGGGCAGAAATGGTTCACTGATCACTTTCTAAGTGTCTTTTTCCTTTTCCTGATGTGTGTGCTCATTCAAACACACAAATAAAAAAGAGTATGATACCCGGAATAAATAATTGATCTATATATGAGTGTTCCCTGATCCAGAGTTACTTTGAACAAAAACAGTTGCCACATATTCAAATCTCTGGTTTCTCTAATCCTTTAAGTAGCTGGAAAAAGTAAAATTTCCCAAATACTTAAGTTTTATATAGTTCTTTTTTAGTGATGTAACTGACAAGCAATTTAAATTTATTAGTGTTTTTTAATGACATGAACTTATGATTATTTTTTAGTAGTTATTTTATTTTCTAGAATAAACTTATAATCGTCCATACAATCATGTAAGATTCATCTAATGATGAAGGTATTATTTAAATTGAGATTTACCCACATCATTGAATACCATGCAGTCATGTAAGCAAATGGTGTAGATCTTTATGCTTGACTTGGAAAGATTTCTATGATGTATTATAAAGTTCTGATCTTAAAAGATACAGTAGATATTCTTTTTTCTTTTGGCCACACCACATGGCTTGTGGGATCTTAGTTTCCTGACCAGAGACCAAACCCATGTCCCCTGCAGTGGAAGCATGGAGTCTTAACTGAACCATCAGGGAATTCCCAGATACAGTAGATATTATAAAGATAACATAATTTAAAACTTTAAATGTTAAGGAGCTCATATGATCTGGAGAAGTTCCACTTTTTGTAATAGCCTCCTTCTATAGAAGTATTCTGATATTAACATATTGCTTATGACTTTATAATTCGTAATCCATGCCCTGATTTTCCTGGGTTTACATTTGAAATTTTTGAAAATCAGTTTTTTTTTTTTAACTGGAATTGAGTTGGGATGGCTCTGGAAATCCTGTGTCCACCTGGAGAACTTTCTGGAGTGACTCACAGTTAAAGCAGACTCCTGAAAGGAAGAGGCCCGCTGTTCCTGGCAAGAGGATCTCCCGCCTGGGGCCTGTTTTGCAGAGATAACAGATGAGAAAAGATGTTGAAAATCTGCAGACTGTTTCATAGCCCCCAGGTGGAAATGGAGGTGATGACCGCAGGGAAGAGAAGAGACAGGTCCCGCCCCTGTGGCCTCAGGAAGACTGGCAGCTGGTGGACTAGTGGGCCTTCCTGGGTTTAAAAGGAAGGAAGTCTCTCTCAGCTTGCAGCCAGTTTCCCACCGCTCTGGTTCACTGAACTTGAAATTGTATTTGTGGGGGCAGGAAAGTGCTTCTCAGCGGGTTTGAAAGAATAGCTAAGAATCCAGGTGGGAAGCTGCACCTACTCTGTGTAGCCTGCAGGGCAGTAAATCTGATAGATCTCATCTCATGGGCCAGGTCATAAAACTATGGTTTGCTTCCTGGATCCAGTCTAACTCTCTTCTTGATGGAACTTTATCACCCCTCCCTAAGTTTTACTTTTATCTGTGATGAAAAGAACATAATAGCTGCCTTATCTCTGTGGATTGCTGTTTCAAACAAAACAATGCATTTTTGAAAGTCCTTTGTTGTACTATTTAAGATAACATTACTACCCTTCCAGTCTGTCTTGTAATGACCTGTGGATCATCTGTTCCAGAAACGTGAGCTGGTCATGGACTCATGAATAAACCTTTCACTTTCAGGCCTCTGCCTTCATTCCTGCTTAGCCCTCCTCTCTGTCTTTCTCGTTGAAATTCCCCTACCCCTCTTTCCCTATTTAAACTCTAAATCTTAACTCCATTGATATCCTAGTGAAGTCATGTTAGGCCAGTGAGCCAGTTTTCATTTCCTTTCTCCAAATAAGGGGCAGAGTCCACTCCCAAGCGTGGTGTCCTGGAGTAGCCAGATTTATTTCGGCATGGATTCTGTTAACACCTTGACCTTTAGACTTGTTTGCTGCCGGGCTCCCAGATTAGAAGTTAGAATCAGGAGCTTTTTAATGTGGACCTTTAGCAGTTGCTTCTTGAGAAGCTCCAAATTTTCCATATAAGAAGGTTCTGTATAAGAAGGGAGAATCGGAACATCCTCATGTAGATGATTTACTTTCTGTCATTTAGGGGGAAAGGATTCAGTGGAGCTTCCCAGGTGGCACTGTGGTAAAGAATCCACCTGCCAATGCAGAAGATGCAAGAGACCTGGGTTTGATTCCTGGGTTGGAAAGATCCCTTGGAGGAGGGCATGGCAACCCATGCCAGTATTCTTGCCTGGAGAATCCTACGGACAGAGGAGCCTGGCAGGCTGCATTCCATGGGGTGGCAAGAGTTGGACAGGGCTTAGTGACTAAACAACAACAATGTACCTATTAATCCTGGGTGTCTAACATTAACAGATGATGAAATGTTTGTTAAAGTTCAAAGTAAACTTTTGTAAACTTTTGTTTACTTTGAAAGATTGAGGAATGAGGTAGCAAGTTGATTGGTTATTTGCAGAATTACCACATAAGCCATACCTACACTGATATGTCAAATACAATTTTAGAATGTTTAATGACAATAGCTAAACTTCATTGAGCACTTATTACATGCCTTCTATGTGTAAAGAATTATCTTAAGAATTTTTTTCATTGTGTACAACTACAAGTTTTATTTGCATCTTAAAAATGAGGTAACCAAAGTTTAGAGAGTTTAAATGACTTGCCCAGGGTCACTTGGCTATTAAATAACAGAGCCAAGAACTCAAACACAGATCTAACTTTGAAACCCTAGCTAGGTCTCAATACTTTTGCTATACTTCATTTCTGAGGCAGAATTCTGGGTTGGCCGTTGCTTTCATCACATTGGTCCCTGAGGAAGTAGAATAAGTTTATAAAGTGCTGAAAGAAAAGAATGGTTGTTTAAAAATCCTTTTTCTCAAAATAAATAAATAAATAAAATCCTTTTTCTCTCTTTTGTTGAAATTGCATCATTTCTATTGACCTACCTTCAAGTTCACTGACTCTGCTCTGTCATATTTATCTATGTTTCTGTATGTAATGTGTCTTTTTCTTCTGGCTTCTTAAATGATTTTCTCTTCATCACTGGTCTCCAGTGATTTTATTATGATGTGCCTTGGTGGGTTTTTAAAAGAAATACTTATTCTGCTTGGGGTTTGCTGAGCTTCGTGGATATGTGAGTTTATAGATTTTATCAAATGTGGACATTTCCAGTCATTATTTTTTCTTGTATTTTCCATGTCCAACCCTTTCTCTTCTCTCCTTCTGAGACTGTAATTACATATATCCCACATGTTACTGAGGCCCAGTTCAATTATTTTTAGCCTTTTTTCTTTTTATGCACAATATTGGATATTTTCCTCTAATAGTCTGTAAATTCACTGATATTTTCTTCTGCAGTATCTAATATGTTGTTAATCTCATATAGTATATTTTGCATTTGAAATATTGTACTTTTCATTCTAGAAATTTTACTGGAGTCTATCATGCTTTTCTTCTACCTTCTTGAACATATGAGGCATAATTATCAGAAGTTTTAATGTCCTCTTCTGCAAATTTCACTCTCTCTGTCATTCCTGGGCCTGATTGTTTTGATTGATTTTACTCCTAGTTGTCAGCATACTTTTCTGCTTCTTTGAGTGACTTGTAATTTTTTAATTGGATGCCAAACATTGTGAATTTTACATTCAGGGGTACTAGGTTTGATGGGGTGTTCCTTTAAGATGTACTTTGTGTTGGCTATAGGTATGTTAACTGGAATCAGTCAGATCCTTTTGAGGCTGGATTTTACATCTGTTAAGGCTGTCAGAGAAACCTTTAATCTAAGGCTAATTTATCCCCACTGCTAAAGCATTGCACTTCTGAGAACTCTCCCCAGTGCCACAAGTATTACAAGGTCTTTCTGCTGTACCTGGTGGGAATGTGGTTCTTTCCCTGGCCTTCATTGGTAGTTTTTTCTCATGGGGCACAGGTCGCTTCTCAGCCAGAGACTCAAAGATCCCCTCTGTAGATCTCCACATGTGCGCCTCTGCTTACAGCGCTCTGACCATAGATTCTGTCTGCCTTGACTTTGCTGAGCTCTGCTCCGTTGCTCCTCAGCACAGCAGGGCCACTGGGCTCTGTCCCAGGTCCCCACTCCTGCTCTGTGGTCTGGACACTGCCTGTGGGCACTCAGCTGGAGTCCTCAGAGGGCGCCTGCCACTCATTTCCCTTGTGTCAGGGGTCACAGCGCTGCACTGGCTGTGCTGTCTGCACATGGTTTTGTTTATTTGATCGTGTTTCTAGTTATCCACGGTGGGAGAGTAAACCCAGTCCCTGATATTCCATCATAAATGGAAGCAGGGGTCTGTGGCTTGTCTTTAAGTTCTTTTTTCACAGTGGAGACTTACCGAATAATTTCAAATCCAGTGCCATATATGAATAGTATTATATTAAAGGAGCTGTAGACTAAGAATCAAAATCAGGGTCCCGATCCTCATTCAGTCGTTTAACTTTCTGCTTCCCATAGTATATTCTGTGACCTTCTACCCAATCTAGAGCAATTCATTTCTTAGTTTAATTCATATCTGTAGAAAGAGGGTTATGAATGTTTTTTATATCATGCTGAGGTGCTATAAAGCGAGAACATAAGAAAATGTGTTGGTTGGCTTGGGTTGAGCTGTTTTCAAACAGAAGCTGGCTTATTGTCACTCACCAGTCTTCATTGTTAACATTTCATGTTAGGCACCATACTGGACATACCTTTTATGTGCATTAGGACTCTTCATCTACCAGTCACTGGATGCTATTGATGGGAAACAAGCCAGAAGAACAAATTCTTGTTCTCCTTTAGGGGAACTTTTTGACCATGGTTGCGACTCTCTTTCCACAGGTAAGTTAGTGGAGATTTTTTCCTATAGTTGTTTTTTGTTTATTTGTTTTTTAATGATGGCTTAAAAAATGAAATGAACTGAACTGTTTGGTTTGTTTTGGTTTACATTTGGAAGCAATTTTGCATAGTGTATGTTTTTTAGATACACTAAAAAAGTATGTTCAGTAATTTATTCTTGCCTAATTTTAATTCCAAGATTATGCACCTTAAAATTCTATATTTCTAAACATTCAGTGGCAATTATTTAACTTATTTTAAATACCTAATGGTTTCTAAACCTCATTTCTTTCAGTTTTTATGGCAGTTGGAGCTTCAATTGCTGTTCGCTTAGGAACTCATCCTGACTGGTTGTTTTTCTGCTCTTTTATTGGGATGTTCATGTTTTATTGTGCTCACTGGCAGACTTATGTTTCAGGCATGTTGAGGTTTGGAAAGTAAGTATGTATTTTAAGTTGTATATTTTAAGATATAATCAAATTCATTTTCACTGTCATACTTCATTTATTCATAATAAAGGGAACAAACTGTTAATCAGGAATTTAAATTACCTTTTAATTTATTGAAGCATCCATAAATGTTATATCTTAGGGTATTAGTCTTTTAGGTGTTCTTCTTGTTATAGTTATATACTTGATGATAATTTTATTTTTTCTTCCTCTCCAACTTACTAGTCCAAGTTTACATTGACAGGAGAAAAAGAAAAATAAGGGATGTGAATAAAGTAGAAAAAGGATATAAGGTGCCTAAAAAAGAAGCATTTGGCTAAAAGATAAAATAATGAGATATGGAATCTAAAGGTCCTTTATAGTCAAATTTTTGTGTGTCCAAAAAGGGGAACCCCTTGACAGCAGTCCTGAACAACAGTAGTCGTGAGAATCTCAGCTGTGGTGTACAGTTGGTGAGATAATGTAAAAGCAGCTTGTAATATTTTCCCCGATTCTTTATTCTTAGACACCAGGAAACAGTGCACAAGACTGGAGCTCTGTTCTCTCCCTCTCTTTCTCATCGGCTCCCTCTTTGCCTGACCCTTTAGTAGCCGTCTCCCTTTGGCTCATTCTCAGCTTTGGCTTCCCCTGTCTTCAGATTCTCTTCTGCAGCACTTTGAAGCAGTAGCTCGGGGGGAAAAAAGAAAAACAACTTCTGCTAATGATAAATGAAAGAAGCTCAAAACAATGGATCATTTAGCAGAGTGAAAGCCATTGGCAGTTTTTCACGTTGACTTTAAATTACAGAATTGTCACAGCTGTCAGCTGTTGGGCACTTGTGTGGTTCTGGCGGTGCACTCAGTGCTGTACATGCCTTTTCTCATTTGTTCCTCACATTAGCCCAGTTAAGGGTATTACTGCCACTGTACCAGTGAGGCGGAGAAGTTCTGTAACTTCCTTATGCTGCTAAAGAAGTGTGGAACCAGGGTTAAACTCAACTCTCCAGACCCCACACTCTTAACGACTGTTGTTCAGTAGCAGCAGTTATTTAATGACTTAGACTTTACCTCTTTGACTTTTAACTTCATTAAAAATCTTTCTGAAATGAATTATTTTACATTCCTGGCCTAGTTGTATACTTTATACTCATTTACTGTTGACTGAGAGCTTAATGTGTGCCTAGAATTGGACATAGAAAGATGAGTCACTTGTGGGTGGGATATGGCAGACAGATTGGGGAAAAAGCATTGTAGGCGGGAGGATAAGGAAAGAAGTACTCAGAACATAGGGAAATGGTTGCTGCGGTTGAGCACCAGACATGTGAGGGACTGGAGGAGATCCTGCACTGCCCAGGGTTTCAACCATGTGAAATACTTACTCTCTATGGCACAGATCCTCCTCTGTATGGTTTCACTTTATCAAAGTAAATGCATCATTGAGCATTGAGTAGGATACACATGGATGGTCCAGCTTAACACTATAAGAAGGATCTATATGTGGGACATCAGCCAACCTTCTGTAAATACTTACAAAGTCAGTCAGTATCAACTGTCAATTGGCTAGGATGGATGTCCTGAAAAATCTGTCAATAAACAATAATAAATTTCCAAAAAAAGCAGTCATTTATACAGTTTATCCTTAAAAGAGGAAGAATGACGCTTTCTGTGGTATGAATGATGCATATGTGAAACCAAGGTTCCTAGCTCAATCCCTGTATATGTCCTTTAGTTCACTGAAAGTTTGTCCTGTAATTTCTGTCAGCTTTCCTAGTTGCTTCTGGTCACTAGTCATACCCTGGAAAAATTATGGATTAACTTAATGGAATTCTTCACTGTTACTTGAAAAAGAGTATAAAATTCTGATAATAAATCATAGGTGTAGGGGAAAGAATGTTGGCTCTGATATCATTTCTCTATAGCAGTATCCAGCTGTTTTCAATACAAGTGTGGAAAAATCACTTCACTTTCTCTTTCCCCCAAAACAGGTATAATGTATATATAGCTCATAAGACTCATAATAGATGCTCAGTAAATGTCAGTACTTTTCCTCTTTTTTCCTTCACAAAATACCATACATTATATTACTTAGTTTACCTTTTTCAACTAACTTGACTATTTCCCCATGCAGTCTGGAGGCCTTGATTTGCCTATCACTAATCTTACAAATACTGCATGTCACTACATTTTCCTTTTATTTGTGCATTAATGCTCCAGTCACCTTTTCCCTCTAAATGCCCTCAAAATAACTCAGCTGAGAAGTCTTTTCTTCCATGTCTGGATCTATTTTATCATGTAATCCCTACATTTCTTGTATTTGAGCACAGTAAGTATTCCTCTAGCACGGCATCTAAGAGGAGATGCAAAGGAGGTAGACACATAAAATCTGAAGCTCAGAAAAAAATATATGGATTTGGAGAAATGGATTTAGAGGTCATTGGCATATAGATGATAGTCTTAAGTATAGATGTAACATTCAGAGAATCTAAAAAGAGAAAAGAGGAATTCTGGAAACAGTAGCATTTAAGATGTGGAGGAAGGAGCCTGGGAAGATCTTCTAGAAAGGCAGGAGAATCACGAGAGAACATGGCATAAAAACAGCAAAGCTTTTCAAGAAAGAGGGTGTGATGAGCGATTTAACTATTGAGGAGTTACATGAGATAGTAACCAAAATGAATCCCTTACGTTCAACAAATTGAAAGTCACTGTTTACCTTAAACAATTTTAATAGAATGGGGCCAAAAACTGGACTATAGTGGATTATGCAGCAATATGAAGAGAGGAGGAAATTACAGCTGTGGACTACTTGCTAGCCTGTTTATGGAGCAAAAGAGAGAGGAATTGGTAGCTTCAGAGAATGCAGAGTAGAGACTGATGTTGCTTGGTTTAGTGGGTTTGTTTAGGGCTTCCCAGCTGGCTCAGACAGTAAAGAATTGCCTGCAAGGTAGGAGACCTGGGTTCAATCCCTGGGTCAGGAAGGTCCCCTGGAGACAGGAATGGCTACCTGCTCCAGTATTCTTGCCTGGAGAATTCCATGGCCAGGAGAGCCTGGCAGGCTACAGTTCATAGGGTCACAAGAGTCAGAAACAACTGAGTGGCTAACACTTTGACGAGTGTGTTTATATATGGGGAAATGTCTGTAGAGACCAAAAATTATAAGGACTATTAGTAACATGATGAGGAGAACTATTGGAATTTTCCCTACTTTTTAATGAAATTGACTTGAGAGTGTTTATGAATTTGCCTTAAATCATCTGGTTATTTTTATGTTACTATTAATTTTTCCTGATTATAAGAGTAATACATGATTGTTATTAAAAATTCAAACTTTGTAGAAGTAGATAAAGTAGAAGATAAAAGGCTTCTGTAATCTCAGCGGTAACTGTTACTAACAATTGTATATATGCTATACAAGTTTTTACCTATATATGAGCACATTGTTGTTCCTGTAGGCTTTTTCACTTAACAGTGTAGTTAACTGATAATTCAGTGATGGAACTAAAGGTAAAAATAAACTAAGCCTGTGAAGATTTTTACATCTTTGATTTCAATATATGGTCAATGAACCTTCATATTCCGGAATTTGATTTACAAACCTCTCTTCTTATTATCTTTCCTCTAGAGTGGATGTAACTGAAATTCAGATAGCTTTAGTGATCATCTTTGTGTTGTCTACATTTGGAGGAGCAACAATGTGGGACTATCCGGTAAATCTAAGTGTTTAAATTTATATTTAAGTACTTTTTAAACATTTGGGGAAAATATTGTATTGTTAATTTTCTTCAGATATCCTTAGAGCTATATTTAATATTCATTCCATTTCTTAACCGTTTTTTCTTCATTTTATAATTTTACTATTCTGTATATCTTATTACAGCATGACTATACTGCCCTATTCATGAATATACTACCACATAAAAGAAAACGACTCCATTTCCCAAATACACAATTAGACTCACTAGTTGAACTACCTTTTCAGGCCAAAATTTATTTCATAAAATAAATTTATAAAAAGTAAATTCAGTCAAACACTTTATGTTTGAAACTTGCCCCTCAACATCAGGAAAGTTGCTAATTTGTATTTTTTATAATTTACTATGCGTGAAGTTTCTCATGTTGAATGTTTTTTATTTTCTGCTTGGTTGAAGACCTCAGTATTTTGATAAAAGTTGACTCTCAAGGAGGCCACTGTTACAAATTCATGCTTTCCACAGGAAGGAAATTTATGAAGAAACAAATTATTTTCTCACTACAACCTAAGTTTACACTATTGGCTGACTCAAAACTTCATGCCCATAGAGTTAAGAAGAATAATAAGGATAATATCAGCTGTCAACAACTAATGCTTATTCAATACTTACTATGTTCTTAAATATTTTACTGTCACTCTTTTCATCTGACCCCCAGAACAATTCTATGAAGTAGATACTGTCATTATTCTGATTTATTAATAAGTCTTAGAGTAATTAAGTAATTTGTACAAGGACGTGTAGCTAGTAAGTACTGGAGCTAGAAATTAAGCAGACTAATTCCAGACTCCGTTTTTAATCACAAAGCAATATACCCCTGGTAATACAAATAGTAAGAAATACAAAGCTAAACATACTCTTACCGTAGGATCTAGTGACTATGCTTTTGAGTATTTACCCAAAAACATTAAAAATTATGTCTATGCAGGGAATTCCCTGGTGGTCCAGTGGTTAGGATTCAGTACTTTCACTGCTGTGGGCCAGGGCTCAATTCTGGGCAGGGAACTAAGATCCTGCAAGCCACATGACATAGCCAGAAAAAAATTATGTCTATACAAAAACCTGATTATGGATATTTATTGCAGCTTTATTCATAATTACCAGAACTTAGAAGCAAGTCTTTCACTGGATAATTGTTTTTTTTTTCTTTTTTTTTTTTTTCATTTATTTTTATTAGTTGGAGGCTAATTACTTTACATCATTGCAGTGGTTTTTGTCATACATTGAAATGAATTAGCCATGGATTTACATGTATTCCCCATCCCGGTCCCCCCTCCCACCTCCCTCTCCACCCGATCCCTCTGGGTCTTCCCAGTGCACCAGGCCCGAGCACCCGTCTCATGCACCCAACCTGGGCTGGTGTTCTGTTTCACCCTAGATAATATACGTGTTTCGATGCTGTTCATAATAATTGGATAATTGGATTAACTGTGGTGCATCTAGGCAATGGAATATTATTCAGTGCTAAAAAGAAAGAGCTATCAAACCATGAAGAGACATGGAGGAAACCTAAATGCATATTATTTAGTGAAAGAATCTAGTCTGAAAAGGCTCCATGTTGTATGACCCCAATTATATGATACTTTAGAAAAGGCAAAATGATGGAAACACTGAAAAGATCTGCTATTGCCAGAGGTTATGGGGTTAAGGAAGGATGAATGAAAAAAGGATTTTAAGGGACGTGAACCCATTCTGTGTGATACTATAACGGTGGATACCTGTCCACCTGTCATTATACATTTGTCATTTATACATTATGCATTATCACATATTATGCAACACCAAGAGCAAACCATAATATAAACTAGGATGATTATAAGTGATAATGACGTTAGTGTCAGTTCATGGATTGTAACACATGGATTGTATCGCCCTGGTGGAGGATGTTGATACCAGGGAAGCATGTGTGAGGGCAGGGAGTAATGGGAACTCTGTGTACTTCCCGTCCCGTTGCTTTGAACCTAAAATTGCTGTAAAAATTATATCTATTTTTTAAAACTGTAAGAAATTTCTCTGTGGCATTTAGTTTCAGAATTGCCAATTATAATTCATATTACTAGGCTCAGAAATAGACTCTGAGCATATTTTTAAGTAGTGGAACATTCTCTGTGATGTTCACATTCCTTCTTATCATGTAAGGATAAATAATAGAATCAAGGATGTGCTACATAGGCCTCTAAAATACGTAGATGTGTCTTTCACGGGATCAGCTCTGCCAATACCCATCAGAAGGTAAATGTGGGCTTAGAGGCAGTTAGGCAACTCTGGTCATTGTCAGATGTGGTTGTTTCAGTTTGGAATTCTGATTTAGTTATTCTGTGGAAGAATTTAATCTTAAAATCATTTCATTCAATATTTTGGCAATACCATAGGAAGAAAGCATACCTATTTATTCTCATCAATAAGAATACTTGTTTTAGATATAGATTTTCTAAATTGAATTGTTAACCTGTAGTTTTCACAAATTTTGGTACAGTATTTCAAAGTATATTTTCAAAACACAATAGCCTATAGCTTTTGGCAATTCATTGTTACTGTTTTTTAAATCCTTTGCTGCCTTTGGAAGTTTTCTTGAACAGCAATTGACCAACAGGTAAATATATATTGCTACAGAGATTTAATCCTGGATGTTAACTACACAAAATTTTTGCATGCACACACATTGTGATATTTGTCACATTCGTGATACAGATCACAGGTCACAGTGTCTGACTCCGAAGATGCTGCCTTTTAGAGGTACTAGAGTCAAGTGAACATCCTTTTTCATGTTTCCTTTAAGTCAGATGAAGGCTTGTGAGATGAAATACTTCATCACAGTTATTTAAGAAGACTTAGCTAAATTTGGTGCATTCATTTAAGAGATAAAACCATTAGAAGAAAAATTAACACTTCAGGTTACATTCTAGAAGTTAAGGTTTGATTATAAGAAAATGGGTAGCTTATTATATAGGGTCTTATTTTAATGTTTCTTTACTGTTTAATAGGAAAATAAATTTTGTTTTCTTAATGAAGTGTTTCTTTCCTCTACCCCAAAGATACCCATCCTAGAAATAAAATTGAAGATCTTACCAGTTCTTGGAGTAGTAGGTGGAGCAATATTTTCCTGTTCAAATTATTTCCATGTTATCCTCCATGGTGGTGTTGGCAAGAATGGATCCACTATAGCAGTAAGACATTAATTTCATCATCATTCAGTATTAATTTTATGATAAATTTTCTTAACACCCAGTTATAGATAAATTTTAAAAATAGGGAAGGAAACTAAATATCTTAAAAGAATCCTTTTTAGGCACATAATACAAAAAGGCATTTTTGAAAGTTTAGACCAATTTTATAGCGTTTTTCCTCTTTCTATACAGCCTTTCTTCGAGTAGGCTTTGGTGACATTCTGTGTAATCATCTGCTGTTTCATTATTGACATAATTAAAAGGTGCCATTTGTTTTCTTCCTTGTTGTGCCTGGCACTGATATAGGAGAGGAGGAGGAAGGAATGAGTTCCTGATTGAATGTCAGGAAAGCAGTCCAAAGTCATGGTTTCACATATGGGGCAATTTATTACACATGAAGTAAGTTTTATTGAAATTTCATCACTGAAATATATTTTTAAAACTACCCTAATATTTTAAAAGGTAAAAACTTAGCCTCAGTTCTTGAGTGGGTACACCTTGTATTTGTTGTGTTATTTACACTTTGCTCATCTATAATTCTTCTGTATTTATTCGTATTTGTTTTTAAAAACTCCTTCAATACTTTTGCACAGAAAAGAGGCAGAAAGAATTCTGCTCAGTTTTTAAACAAATATAATATCTATGTTTTTTAAAAAACATGTCATCTTCAAGGTAGTTGAACATTATGAACTTATTCCAGTGATGCCATCTTCTATCAAAACATTGCTGGAATGCCTTTAAGCTATAGTTCATTCTCTTTGATTTGCTGTAGTTCAGAATTTCTGTCCTTTAAGGATGGGTTTGACTTTGAGAAAAATCAAAGTCATTTGAAGCCAGACCTAATAAATAAGAGGAGTAAAACCCTGAAATATAGCATTTTTACTTAAAACAATTTGAAAGGAACCCACATAATTCATATATTACCGATCTTTATGAGCTACAACTACTGAAGCCCACGCTCTAGAGCCCATGCTGTGCGACAGGAGGAGCCACCACGAGAAGCCTGTACCCCACAGCTGGAGAGGAGCCCCCAGTCCCCACAACTAGAGAAAAGCCCGCACAGCAGCACAGAACCCAGCACAGCCAAAATAAATAATTTTAAAGCAGCATTTTAGTAGCATAAATATTTATAACACTACTGTATAGTGTTTTATTGACATGACTTTAAAATATTCATATTAGTGTAAGTTCTAACATTACATATAAACTTAATAGACAAGAATAATTCAGCAGTTTTAATAGATACATTTAAATTGAGGGTTATGTATTTAGCAAGCCTTAATATCAAATTTATTACATTATCTTGTTCAGAATAAGCAATCCTGACAGAATCCCGATTCATATAGATAAAAATATAATGGGTTCAGTCGTACAGTGCTACATAAGAGGGCACTTGCGGTCTCAATGTAAAAGGCAGGGCAGAGTGGGATGTTGGTATAGAGAGAGACTAGATTTAAATTCCTCCTAATCAATGATTAAGATATTGTGTAAAAGTGTCAGGTTAAGATTTATTTCAATATCTCACAGAAATATGTTAACTTGGCAACTGGACGGTTGATGGCCTTTAACATGGTAAAATTTAGTATAAGATAAATGATGTCATTTTTTAGTGATTATTAGCTTAAAATGTATATTCATATAAAATTGGAATGAAACATCTGTAGCACTGTATTACCTCTTTGTAACCCTTGGTAGGGTTCTGTAGAAGTTTGAAAAACACAGCTAAGTATACTTCTTTAGGCCATATACTATCAATACTCTTCTCTAGGTCTCTAGTTCCTAACACAAAGTAGATGCTCAGAAAATATTTGCATTGTAATAAATGCATTGTTAAAATGTGGTCCTGATTTTCTGCTTTATCCCTTAGGGTACCAGTGTCTTATCACCTGGACTTCACATAGGAATAATTATTATACTGGCAATAATGATTTATAAAAAGTCAGCAACTAATTTGTTTGAAAAGCATCCTTGTCTTTATACCCTAATGTTTGGATGTGTCTTTGCTAAAGTCTCACAGAAATTGGTGGTAAGAAATTCTTTTAATTTATGATTCATGGTATAAATAATGTATTTGTTCCTCAAACACAAAACTGGAAACTTTCATATAATGGGTAGGTTTTTTGTGGTGTTATCACAATAAATAGTTAGCTATTTGTGCTCCAAGTAATACTGTAAATGAATGTTTTATTCAGAGAGACAAGACTCCTTAGTGTAAGTTCTCTTAATTATTTAACAACGACTATCAGTTATAACCTTCTGATATCAGGAATTTAAATTGGAAACTTGAACAAGCTACCTAGTCCTGAATGTGAGAGATTTTCAATTCAGTATTCTCATATCAAATGTGAGATTAAATGGTCTCTTTGGTGGTGGTGGTGGTGGCGGCTTAGTTGCTAGGTTGTGTCCAACTCTTGTTGATACCGTGGACTGTAGCCTGCCAGGCTCCCCTCTGTCTATGAAATTTCCTAGGCAAGAATACTGGAGTGGGTAGCCATTCCCTTCTCCAGGGGATCTTTCAGACCCAGGAATCAAACCCAGGTCTCCTGCATTGCAGGCAGATTCTTTACTGACTGAGCTATGAGGGAAGCCCAAATGGCCCTTTTATCCTTATCTTAACAGTAAATTAAAGATTTAGTTATTTCTATCCTGAAAATAAAACATTTAAAATTTAATAGTGAAATTATTTTGTTTACTTTTTTATAGATAGCTCACATGACCAAAAGTGAACTGTATCTTCAAGACACTGTCTTTATTGGCCCAGGTCTTTTATTTTTAGACCAGTACTTTAATAATTTTGTAGACGAATATATTGTTCTATGGATAGCAATGGTAAGTACCTTTTTGCTAAGAGTTCTTATTTATTTTTAACAAATGTCTGTTCTGTGCATGGACCAATGGGGTACATGTGATCATTCTTTATTCTAGGTTTTATAATATTATACTTTTTTGGAATAAATTAATAATATCTATTCAGAAGTCTTCCATTCTTCAAGTGGTTGTGAGATAAATCTTAATCCTTGAAAGTTTCTCAGGCAATATTCTAAAAAATGTTTGAAAGTCAGAATGATCTCTTTTAAATTACTATCCACTATAAATATTATTACTAGAAAACAATCTAAATTTAAGAAATAGGGGATGGTTTTTCAAAGTATCTGAAAATTCAATGTAGGGTTTCTTTCGGTCAACTTAAATGTATTACCAAATAGAATGAGTGTAATTAAAATATCAGGTGTTAAAAATTCAAGCACCTAACTTGTAATGAGTGAGTTGGCCTAGTTTTACATCAGTGGTGGAGATTATGGTAAGGAAGTTAAATTCAGTTTTTCTTTAAAACACTTTGTTAACCACAATTAAGAACAGGCAAACAAAAAAACACCGAGTAGACCAAAACCAACATATTGTGCCCTTTGGCATCCTTAGAGAAAAGGTTCTTGCTTCAGAGAGAGAAAAGCCAGATGGAGTTTTTCAAGTAAATAAGATTTTTCTATTATCAGAATTTTCTACCAACAGAGCCACGAGGCTCCTTTCTATGAGAGGAAGCATTTGCCCCCAGTCTCTGGGAAAGTTCTTAAATAGTGTGCCTTCCTCCTTAATTTTGTAAAGAACACAGTTTTTGTATGCCTTCCCTCAACTATGGTGTCTCTTCCAGGCCTTTACTTTCTTACAACTACTTTCACAGGAATAAGGAATAAAAGTATTTGATGGAGTGATTTCAATTCTAATGACTGATAGCCCCTTCTAGTAGAAATTGGTGGCTTTGTTGCACAGCAGAAAACAAAGTGTGTGAAGTCAGAAGACTTGAGTTCTGTTGTTTTTCAGATTTTGTAATTAGTCTAGACCTTCTATCACTCTGAGCTGTTTCTGAATCTGTAAAATACCCTGTATATCTCAGAGGACTACAGTGAGGCCCAAATACGAACTGTAAAATGTAGTATTTTTGATGAAGAATTTTTGGCTAAGGTTTGAGATTAGGGGGTGGACGACAGAAAAAAATAGCTGCTTCTTCAGAAAAGTTAGACTATAATCCATTTTATATTTTCTTTTTTGCTTCTAAAGGTCATTTCTTCACTCGATATGATGAGGTACTTTAGTGCTTTGTGCCTGCAAATTTCAAGACACCTTCATCTAAGTATCTTCAAGACTTCATGTCATCAAGCACCTGAACAGGTTCACAAGCATATTGACTAATATCCCAAGGAAAAGAGGAGAAGCAGTTAGGGGAACCTATGAATAAAGGAAGTCCCCCTTTGCAGGAGGCTAGTATATTATCAAATAAGGTTATATTTTAATATAAACATTAAGTCCTATAGATCCATTGTGTCTGTCTTAGTTGCAAAGCCCTCACTATCAACATTTTTTATCAAGGTATTATCAGAGTAATACAACCTATAAATTAATTCTAAACAAAACCAAAGAAAGAAGTTTCAATTTTCTAAGAAAGTGAAACACTACAGTTCTAAAGAGCAATCTCTTTGTCTCAGAAATCCTCATCAGACAGTTGGGGTTTTCTCTGCCAAAGGATTACATAAAAATTCAGGACAAAGGATTTTAGCCATCTTGAGGGAGATGCTTACTTTGATTGCTAAAAATTGATAAATGAGTTCATAATATTGTATAAGTGCATAGACTTGTAATTATTGAGTCAAATGTTATAAGCATCTTTACAGTGACAGCCAGTTATTCCTTGATATTCTAAGTTTCACTGTCACAAAAAAGTGGATATTAAACATTTCCATTTGTGAAAAATAAAAACAGTAGCCTAAGCACAACTGACATATAAGAAAACCAGTAATTTACAAAACCATGACAAAAGTATCTTTCCTTTAGAATATCAGCTAAAGCTACTTCAAGTATACTTTCACTCATTTGAGATAAAATGGGGATAAAATAAGTATCTTTTATTCAGTCACTAAGTACATTATATATTGATTCTTATCTTTCCACTCTCAAAGTGTTTCTATTGCTCATTATGAATAATAGAACTGTCAAATGGTTCTTTGGTGACCCAGATCCTCAATTCTCATCTTACCTATTTGTAATTTTTATCTAACAGTTCTGTAGACCATAAGCCATATGTTGAAAACATTTCTTTAAAAAAGAAATAATGAATATGTACTATATTTTAAACAAGAAAAAGGCATATTGTAAAAAGAATGAAAGTTGATATTCCTTGAAAGGAAATATGTTACTTAAGTACAATGAAAATACTCTGGAATACTTATTTTGCTCCTAAAACTGGTAAATTCAGTAAGAACAGCTTGATTTGGATAGTACTTAAAATTTATATTCCAACCTGTACTTTGGCTTAAAAGGGAAATCCTTTACAAAATGCAAAAACTTAGGAAGTAAACTGTCCCTAATGTCAGATATTTGTTAATGATGGAGGACTAATTTCTTCCAATATAACTGATCACAGAAGAAGAGAATCAGTATGTGTTTGTTTTTTTAAAATTTGGAAAACCTAAAATAAAGGTGGATTATGAGACAAAAATTAGAATTTAAAATATGAAAAAACAAGACAGAGTCACTCTTCTCTACTTCTGTTGGGCATATTTTTTGTTTTGAATGACTCAGGGAAAGTATTTTCAGCAAAAAATGGTAAGTTTAACCCAAATATTTCAAATTTGTTTTTGCTGAAACAATATTTATTAAGTGTTCAATATGTTTGTCTCTGTTTAAAAAGTGCACATTTAAAAGTACCAGGTATAAAAATTAACTCTTTGGAAATGAATGTAAAAACTTCCATATATTTACTGAATATTGAAACTGGAAAACAAAATATTCTATGTAATTTATAGTTAAAGACAGATGTGAAGAACTTAAACCATAAGTAATTAGGTATGTTAACGAAATGCTCTTAATCTTTACTAAGGGCATGTGTCATTTAATTATGGACAGAGCCCAGTTAAATGGCATTTTGATGTCATTGTAGAAGTGACATTCACAAATCCATGCCTTAAAACAGTATTTATATATCTTGTTTGGTTTTTTAAATGGATTTCAGTGGTTTAATTTATTCCAGAAGGGAAACTTAAGTTGTTTTTATTAAGTTTTATAAGTCAATAGAATGTATTTTTTGAAATCTTATTTCATTAGAATTGGCAGTGTAACTTCATGAATATGTATGAAAGGATGTACGTATAATAGATTTTGTGTTTTTTTCCTTAAATAGGAACATTAACCATCTATACTTGTGTTTTCTACCTTTTGGAAGTGATACAAATACACTGAAGCCAAAACTTGCAATTAAATCATTTTTATTGCTAAAAGTTAAATGACAAATGTTAGAAAAATTCACTACTGCTATTATCACCAGCATTATTAAAGAGCTGAAGCACAGTGGTACATATACTTTAGGGATTGCTGCTCCTCACACAAGTTCATATTTGGAGGTGAACAAAAAGAATGGTCTTGCACTTAAGCTAATGATTAATATGATGTAATATTTTAAACTAGAATCTTAAATCACTCTAACAACTTATTAGCTAATGTTATATCATGTTACTTAGGTTCAAGTTCTTCCTTCAAAGAGTCATCAGAATAACATGGATTGAAGAGACTTTCGGACACTTGCCATCTCTTGCTGCTGCTGTTACATGAAAGGAGATATTAAACACTGGTTTAATTTTTAGATAAGTGTTAATACATATTTCACAAATAAAATATTTCAATGCTTACATTAATTCTTTTTCAGTTCTGAATAACAACTTACAGTTTCCATCATAATTTTTTTTTGCAACAAAGCCATTTCTTTTTTAAGTTCATTTTGTGCACCAGTAAGTAGATTTTCATGATTCTTCTCCAAGTCCTCCATACTCTAAAACACAAAAAGCTAGGTCAATTACAAACCACCACTTTTCATCTCAGTTTGAAAACTTACGCAGTTAATTTTCAAAAGTAGGAACTTTTTAATGTTCAACAATGCACATTATTTATCTCAAATAAAAATATTCTAATACATGAAAACCAAAATATCCACTAAAGGAATAGAAAACATCATCATAAATCAAATATTATTAAAGGAGTTACAACAGTAGTGTACCTTCTCACTGGAAGAAACAAACAAAACATAACAAAATTTTATAAAAGGAATAGAAGCACAACTTGCTGTAGCTATGCAGTAGAAAATGGGGATTAATTCCAATTTAGTTGCCAAAAGAATAAGATTGAAAAGGTAAGGGAAAAGGAGTTAAAAGTATTCTAGGGCAAGCGCATAAAAAACAGTATGAAAGTGCAGAGTTCAGAGAAAGCAATTATGTGGAAGGGTGGAAGTAAAGGATGAATGTAGTAACTGAAGCATAAAAAAAGGATCATATTATTGGGGGGTGGGGGTAAATCTTGAATACCTAAGAATTCGTAGTGAGAATCTACTGCAAGTTTTTCAGGAGGGAAAAGATAATGTTTTTGGAAGATAGTATGGCAGACCCATGAAGGATGGGTTGGTAAACAGAAAAATCAGTTAAAAGTTTCCATAGTATAAGCAAAGAATAACAAGATTGTGAACGATGGCAGTAGCAGTGCTGAAGAATAAGGGAAATGGAGGCATCAAATATCGTACTAAAGTTCCTACACCAAGTGATAATGGCCAGTGATAGCATTTAGCACTTAAAATATAATGAATTCAGAATGGAAAATAGTTAAGAATTTAAAATGTGTAAGCAAAATGTTTTCCCCTTAAACTGAGAAAAAAATTATATTCTACTTCCACATATAAACTATATTTTGTAAGAATGTGTTATGTTACCAAATACAACAGACCTTTATGAACTGCTCACATAATTGTCTAATTGTTTTCAGTCTCTGGCTCTGAACAATTCTAGACTGTTGGAAAACCTTTTGTTGCTGTCGAAACAGATTCTACAAATGTAAAAGAAAAGATTATGTAATAACTATTTGGGTAAAATTTAGGAAAAAATAATTCTATGTTAAACTTAAAGGGAATAGTTTTTAAATCAGTATTTTTAAGATTTTATCTTAACATTTACTATGAGTTTAGATAATGTGTTCACCACTTACATACAATAATATAATAATCCAGCTAGTCACTGAATAGGAAATCTCAACAGTGCTCAAAACATGTCTTAATTCTTCTTGCTTTCTATGTCAACACAGATGATCCTTCAAATATTGCTGATCTTTCAGTTTCTTGGCCTGTTTTCAACCAATGGTTTTTGCCCTTCACCCTAGTTTATCTATTACATACATAATCATAACCTAGATTTTGTCATTACCAATAACTATAACCTCTACATTAATATTAATAATAGCAAACTTCATATTAACAAAGTGTTAGGTAGGAAGCAAACACCAACAGCTTTTATATATGGTATGTGCCTGTACTTGTGGTTTACCATTCACCAGAACCAGACTCACAGCCAGCAGTAGGTAATGGAACCTGGCTGAGTTCCATGGGTGTACTACAAGGCCAGGCTCTCCACTTCTGCTTGAAACTTGGTTATAATAGATTAATTATAAAACTAAAAAGCTAAGCATAATACTAACAGCAAGTTTTTCTTCTTGTTCCTCAGCTTTCTGCATATCCATATCCCACTGCTGGAACAAAGTCAGAAACTGCTGAGAATATTCTTGGTTAAGCTTCTGCCTGTAAAACATATTATTATATTTCATATCAATGTGGAGCAACTATCAAAACAAAATTGATTTGATGTAATTATGCTATAGTAAAAGAGAAAGTATCAGATTTCCAGATGTGAAATCAAGAAGTAAAAGTATGACTCATGCTGATTCCAGAAATATTTATTTTCCTAACCAACTAACAGAAAAACCCTCAAAACCCTCTCATGCACTTTAGTTCTTGAAAACTAGTGGAGTTTTATTATACATATACATTTTCCAGAAAGGTCCATTTTATCTCCAAGCAATTTACTTTTTCATCTTCTCCTACTGAATATAGGTTATGATATGATAGATTCACCGAAGTTACTACAGAAAATTTTCAAATAGAAATATTTCACTTAATTTTTCCCCATTTTGGTACAGTGATTTTGTACAAAAGAACAGTTAATTCATCTAAAATATACAAATTGTTTATAATATATAAGGTTGATCATTTTATACATTGTTAAATAGTTAACTGTTATAAGACCAATGGTTTATAGGACACTGACTTTTTATTCAGCTAGCATACTTTTAAAATGAAAATAAATTCCTTTTATTGTTTAAAAAAGCCTCAATCATTATTTAAAGGGCTTCCTTATAGTTCAGTTGGTAAAGAATCTGCCTGCAATGCAGGAGACCCGGGTTTGTTTCCTGGGTCGGGAAGATCCCCTGAAGAAGAGAATGGCAACTCACTCCAGTATCCTTGCCTGGAGAATCCTATGTTCAGCTAATGTATTTTTAAAATGAAAATAAATTCCTTTTATTGTTTAAAAAACGCCTCAATCATCATTTAAAAGGGGAAAGAGGTCATCTTTATTGATTTCTAGGAAATGTATCTCAAGTCTGTGAAGGAATAAAGTTATAGGACTAAAAGACTTAGAGGAAAATCAAATCAAATATAATTTTTACTAGAGAGCCCAATAAATTGAAGACGATAATACTTCTCATAATTTGTACCCATGAGTAGTAAGGAATGATACAAATGTGGCAGTGAAAAAAACCAACAACTTTACCTTTGCTCTTGTTGGGTTTTCCAAACATTTTCAAGTTTCTGGTTACTGGTTTTGAGAGAAGCCTTGGTATACATTTCTAGTCTCTTTCTCTTAGCAAGAAGAGACTTGTTAATATCAGCTATAATGAAAATAGATACTCATTAAATTTAATGTGAGAGTAAGTTATTTATTCCGACATATTCAAATAAATATGGATAAAGTTGGTTCAAGAATTTTGAAGATATTTTAAAAATACACATATTATCAAAAAGCATGATTAGCTGCTTGCTTTTTTTTCTGAGAAAAATTTTAATTATTGGTATCTCAATTCTTATTTTCTTAACTAGAGATAATTTAGAGATGATTAAAAAGAGCTAATAATTGAAAAAAAAAGGTCTCAAGGACAGACTTTAATGTTTTCATAAGACACTAATAAAGACTAAATTTAGAACTCATTATATAAAACACAAAACTTTTTTAAAAGCCTAAAAAGAATAAAAAGTTTAAATGTTTTTAAAAACACAGTGATACTATTAAATATATTTTTTACTAAGAGAGACAAAGCATAGGAAAATCTTAGTTTAAGTAGGTATCTAAATAAATTCATTCAGGAACTCTTTTAAATATGTCCATGGAAGCTTTGCACAGTGGCTACAATAATAAATATTGTAGCCAATGAGGTTTATCCAAGGCTCGATTATTGCTAATTGAAAACTAAATATGTCCATGGAGCTTTTTACAGGCCATTTTTTACCAATAAGTACTGCATTTCATAAAATTTTTAATACTTCTAATAATTCTTTGCTAGGCACATGCATATGGATCTACTGTCAACAGTCATTTTCAGCAACCATGATGAGGTTACCTATACTGTCAGATATTTGGTATTTCCAAGTGAAAATGAAACTGAAAGTCACTCAGTTGTGTCTGACTCTTTGCGACCCTGTGGATTATACAGTCCATGGAATCATGGAATTCTGTAGGCCAGAATGCTGGAGTGGGTAGCTTTTCCCTTCTTCAGGGGATCTTCCCAACCCAAGGATCGAACCCAGGTCTCCTGCATGACAGGTGAATTCTTTACTAGCTGAGCCACAAGGGATTTCCAATATCCATCTCCAATAATACATTTATAAGGTCAAGTATTTTGCTACAACCAAATAAGGCAAAGCTTTCAAAAAATATTTGATTATATGAATATAGAGAAGAGCTAAATATTTACTTTTTTCAGAATACTATCCCCAATACAGTTAACACAACTAACATTTGACATACAGTTTAATGATCTGATTATACATCTCTTTGGAGAAGGAAATGGCAAACCACTCCAGTATCCTTGCCTAGAAAATCCCATGGACAGAGGAGCCTGGCAGGCTGCAGTCCATGGGGTCACAAAGAATTGGGTGTGACTAAGCAACTAACACTTTCACATTTTCATACATCTCTTACTAGCAACACTGTCTTTAATTCTCAACTACATAGTTTGATAATGTAAAAATAACAGTAAAGTTATTTTAAAGGTTTCAGTTTACACTGCATTTAGTAAAGAACACAAGAATGTCATAGAAAATAACCAAAGAGAGAGAATAAAAAACTGACACATATACAGATATGGGTGTGTTTGCATCACTTAGTCCATGAAAGTCAAAGAGGGATAGATATTTTTCCCATCCCTTTTTGATCTAAAATTCCATAATCTATTAAACCCACACATGTATAAAGTAACAGGACCATTCTTAACCCACCATTGTTAGTACCATTCTCTTCACATCAACTGGAAAAGGTTAATAAGGAAATCTATGAAGCTGAATCACATATATCTGTGCAAAATCTTATAAGAACAAAGCATTAAAAAAGTATTACAGTCCAGTGATTATTATTTACTATTATACAAGTTATATGGTTTAAAACAATGTTGAACACAAATATCTACTAAATATCTACTAAAACATACCTCCAAATCTTTCCAGCATATTCTGTACTTCACCCCTATGAAAAAATTACATCAGGAAAGTTTTAAGGATCCATACAATATTTACTGTTTGGGAAGGAATATCACATTACCCAGTATTTTACATGCAATACTCATTGGACAACCAAATAGGTGTTTCTTAAAGTCTAATAGGTGAAAATAGTTTGACGGTATTACCCCATATCTTCAACTACTGCAGAAGTCCTTTTCCTCCCATGTTTCTCAAGTATTGGGGTCTTCTCTGCATGACAATAAAAAAAATATTTGAAATTAAGTGTGTTATTTTGGCAATTTTTTAATGGTACTATATCTTAATTTTGAGGGTTTTTTTTTTTAAGCCTTCTACCAAGACAAGTTTTTAAAGCAGATTTATAAATGCACTACTTTCTCTGCAGGTTTGTTGTGTTGTTGTTAGTCGCTAAGTCGTGTCTGACTCTTTTGTGATCCCATGGACTGCAGCCCCCCAGGATCCTCTGCTCATGGGAGTTCCCAGGCAACAATTACGGAGTGGGTTGCCATTTCCTTCTCCAGGGGATCTTCTCCTGACCCAGGGATCAAGCCCTGGTCTCCTACCTTGGCAGGCAGATTCTTCACCACTGAGCCACCAGGGGAAGCTGCCTCTATGTAGGTTAGATGGAATGAAATCAGGATCCAAGACCGTTTTTTACGAACAATTTTGCAAGTCTTCCTGTGTTAATGTCATAATAATCTCTGTACTGTTTCTCAGACATCAGATGAAAGATGCTATAGAAGCTTCACTAGCCCCAAAACAGAAACATGAAATACATGAAAATGCAGGACGTGGTCAGTAAACGTTAGGTTTACTGTACCTTCAACAGCATCCTCCTCTGAACCACTCAGATCTTTTTTGTCTTCTTGCTCAAATTCATAGGTTCTTATAGCCTGATCCCCCACAGATGGTTTCGCAGACTTCCCGGAATATTTTCTTCCAGAGGGCACCATTTTTCAATGTTTTCTTATTTAAAAAACAAAAACGAAAAAACCCTCTGAATCCAAAGACACTAAATAGACGGGCAAATTTCAAAATGAGAGATATCAAATAAAGATCATTTTAACTGAATTCCACTTTAGGAGTCTCTTCATTTACTTTGTTGAACCAAAAATTAATAAGATAATGACAGCACTGCTCCTGACTCCTGGGGTGCCTTAATGGAGAGTTCTCAGGGACAGGGAGGGCAGGTAGGGCGGTGGAATTCTAGATCTGCTTTTGCCAGCTTCTGGCTAAATAGAGGCAAATCTAGATTTTGCATTTCAGTCAGAGTGAAATCAACGACTGACAGGATCAATCACGACCCCACCCCAAAGAAACTGCTAGCAACAGGAATACAAAATAAAACCCGCAGAAAAAGACATCCAGTAAGAATTCCACGACCCAGGCCTCGAGGACCAGTGAAGGGGAGCCCTGAATTAAACTAAATGGTTCCTGTAGATTGGCCGGGGGCGGGGGGGGGGGGGGGCGGGAGCGGGGAGCCGGGGCGGAGACTACAGCCCACCCTCTTCGCCTGCGGTCAACCTGTCCACCCGCCACGTTCAATCCAAGTTGCCCAGCCTGGGCTTTCTCGCCCGCTCCCCGCCACTCACAGGTCTGACCACTAAGAGCTTTACGGCTTTCAAATTCCTGTCAGAGGCTCCCGGGAAATTTTACCTGGTCAAGAGTAGCCCTTGGCTCAGACTCCCACGCAGAACAAACACTTCCCTCCTCACGCCCGAAAATCACCCCCAATGGCCGAGGACCGCAGTTAATGTCTCCGGACAGGCGTACCCTCCACTCCCGCTGCCCAAGTACCTTACCTCAAGTGTCCACTTCGCAGCCGCGACACTACTCTGAGGTAACTCCAAATTCCGGCGGGAGAAAATGCAGCCTCGCCTCCCAGGAGCGTTGCTGATTGGCTGGCTGGAAGGCGCATGCTTACAGTGGTCCCAGGGCTCCGCCCCTTCAGACGACGAACTATGTGAGGCTGCTGACGCTGAGTGCGTTTTAGGCGGCAATTTGTGGCTAATACAAATGAGGCGTGGCGCTTTCCAGTTGCTTTTTGTAATTTAAATTTTTTCAGAATATTTTAATAAAATGGCGAAAGAACATGTAAGTTATGAAATGTGAAGAACACACATCTTAATTTGCGAAGTAGAATTTTACCAAAACCCATTGAATCTTCTCCGGAAGTCCTTTCCATCCCACTCACACCCTCATTTTGTACTCAGAGGTTTTTTAAAAACTTACCTTAAATTCTGTGTGAATCATTGGACCCTCCCATTTTCTAAGTTTTCTTACCATATATGTGCCCATAAACAAGCCTTCTAGGTTTTGTGTTGGCATAGTACAAAAAATTGTACCATATTCTATGTAGTTTTCTGTCACCCACTTTTTTACTTAACATTGTCACTAAGAGAATCTAGATGATTATACCTAACCAAAGTTCTTTCATTTTCACTGCTGCGTAATACCCCATTGTGCCTCTATTCCACAATTTATTAGTTTATTTTCTTGTCTGTGGACTTGTGGGTTGTTTTCAGACTACACCCTACATAAACAATGCTACTATGAATATTCTAATCTGCGTATATGCCCAAGTTTTTACAGAGGACCTGGGTGTGAAGTTGTTTGGTAATAGGCTAGATGTAATAAGGTTTCCAATTTATATTCCCACCAACAGAATGAGTTTCCATTGTTCAATGTACTCATCATCAGTTGGTATAGTTAGATTTCTTAATTTTGCCACTCTCAGAGGTGTAAAATGATATTTCTTTAGGGTCTTCTTTTGTATTTCTCCAATCATGCATAAGATTAAGCTCTTGTTATGCTTATTGGCCATTTGCATTTCCTTTTTCTTAAAATATCTATTTGAGTTTCCTGCTCATTTTTCAATTGGGTTATGTGTTTCTTATTGATTTGTAACTTTTTATATATTGGGTGAGTGTTAATAAATATTTGTGACTGCTTTCTGTATCTTCTATCCTGAAACCATAAAAAAAAAGTTTGAAGGTTTTATTTTTCATTTTTAAGCCTTTATTCATATAGAATTTTTGTGCCTGACAGGTAGGATCCAATTCCTTTGCCTCACTCCTCACTGTGGAAACCAATTTACTGAATAGTGCATCCTTTCCCTTTAACGACTACATCATCCATATGTCCCTGAGTCTGCTTCTCTAGCCTGTTCCACTGGATCAGTTTGCCTATCTCTGTGCCATCATTCCAGCTTTATTAAAGGTTTGGCATCTAATAGAGCAAGTCACACCTTATTTTTTTCTTCAGGAGCATCCTGTGTATTCTTGAACTTTGCTTTTCAAGCAAATTTTATAATCAGTTTTCCAAGTTCCGGGAAAAAACAAAACCAAACAACTTATTGGAGTTTCACTAGAATGGCAATAAATCTATAGATCAATTTAGAGAGAACGGAATCTTTCTATTCTTGAATGTAGCATATTTTCCATTTATTTAGAACGTCTTAATATAATTCAATAAAGTTAATTTTTTTCCCTCTGTGCAGTTTTCACTTTTATTGAATTTTTTTATAAATAACTTATTTGTCCCTATTTTGCTCTAATTGTTCAGTTGCTCAGTCATGTCTGACTCTTTGCGACCCCATGGACTGCAGCCTGCCAAGCTTTCCTGTCTTTCACCATCTTCCAGAGTTTGCTCAAACTCATGTCCATTGAGCCAGTGATTGCCATCCAACCATCTCGTCCTCTGTTGTCCACTTCTTCTCCTGCCTTCAGTATTTCCCAGCATCTAATATCCAATTGACTTCTGATATGGGTCTTATTTCTTTTAAAATATGCATTTTAAAAGTTTATTTACCTGTTTATACACACACAACATTGTTCCAGAAAGGGATTGAGGTGGCTTAAAAGACTCTGTAAAATACACGAAGGAATTAGTAACAGAAGAAGCAGGAACGAAGCATATGCAAAACGCTTATACAATCCTACTCCTTTACTCTGGATGAACCTACCACAGATTTGGCTCTAAGCTTTTTAGCAGGCAGTCAGAAAAAGAAACTTAATTACATCATTTGCAGTGTCCAAAAAACAAAAGCAAACCAATTACTCATGCAAAGCAGTGTTATTCCTAATATTAAGACAGAGAAAAATTTCTCTTGAGAGGCTTTATAAAGAGGTCAGTGAATGATGTAATTAATAATCAGTGTTCTCAGTAGCAACCTAATTGGAGACCAAAAATTAATTTCGTAGGGTTCTTTCTTCCATACAGGCTGATGGCATCACATCAACTTTTTCTTTTTTCTTCAGGGAAAGCAATTTTATCATGACTCCATAGAAGTCCTGAAACCCTAAAATTCTATTCAACACTTTCTGAATAGGTGTGTTTATTCTTCTTGGCAGAGCAAACATAGTTTATTAGATGCACGCAAGCTAGGAATCATTTCTTTAGACAATTAAGAGAATTAGACTACAAATCATTCATGCTATTCAGATACTTACGGTTTTTTCTTAACAGTCAAGCTTGTTTTTTTTCCCCACCTCTGGAAAAGGATCCTTTCTTGTTTCCATTTGGTGCCACGGCTTGGGTGAAGGTTTCAGAGTGGTTAAAAAGTTGCCTCCTGGCTGGAGGCAGCCGCTCTGGCAGAGATCTCGGGACTGGGGAAGGCAGAGGGGTCCCGCTAAGGCTACCAGATTCCGGAGACGCCTAGTTTCGCTGGCAGGAGAGCCTTTGGAAGAGATACTCGCCCAGCCCGGCCTGGGGGCGGCCAGCCTGCACAGGTTGGTCAAGTGGACGCCCATCTTGACGAGCTCCTCCTCCAGGAAGTGGTGCCCCAGGAGCTTGGAGAGCTGGGCGTCTGCGTCCGCAGAACCCAGGACGTGTAGATCCTAGAGGGAGCCTGGTTAGGGCTCTTCTCGGGGGGCCGTGGGGGCCTCCGTGGCTTCCGGGGCGGTGCTCCGCTCCTCCCGGGCCATCACCTGCCGGTGCTACCAGGGCGCGGCCACCCCACTGCTTCCGCGCCTTAAGGAAAAGCTCGGCGCCCTTGCACTTCGGCCAACATCCAGAAGAAGCGGCCCACACCTTCCAGAGCCACCTCGTTGCCTTTGAAGTAGAAGCTCCGAGAGGTAGGTGGACGAGGCCCAGAGGTGTGGCTGATGGCTGCCTCCTCCTTGGTGGAAGAATTGCGCCTGATCTGGGTGCTCACGGTTAGTTAGCGGTGAGGACTTCTTTCCACTGTGTGCTGTGAGGCTGGTCCTGGAAGCAGGGGATCTGGGGCTTATTCTTCTATCCAGCATCTTGCTAACCGCCTGTGTTACTTTTAATGATTTGTCTGTAGAGTCGGGGCTCATATCTGTGAATAGTGACTTTTTTGTTTCTTTCTAGTTCTTAAGCTTGTATTGATTAGGCTCTTCAGTAGAAAGGTGAATAAATGTATCAATATTAGACATCCTTTATAATTTGAAAGGGCATATTTCTAAAGTTTCTGTTAACAATGATGCTACCAAAACCTATGTTAAATCCGTTTCACCTGCCATCACTAATCAAGGTTGTTTTGAGACTGGCAGGTCTTGTTGGCTACACTTATCCCAAACAGTAAGGTGTCTGCCCCAGTTGTTTCCAGGAATTTGGAGTCAGCTGGGTATAGTTTGAGCTGAGCTGGATAAGTCTGGACCACTGACCCGTCAACTGGGCATTCAAGAGTTGCTTAGTGACATTTTTGACATCAGAGGAGTGAAAACTCTACCCTTAAAACTTGCAGAGGCCTGTAGCCTAGTTAACAGATGCTCAGAATGGCAGATTCTACACCTTTTTCCAGTCATCTTTCTCCACACCCCCCATGCCTTGGACCGCCCTGCGTTTTTATACTTTATCTCATAAATAACTGAGCTCCTTGCCTTGGGGAGGCAGAGCTGAGACTGGTTTTCCTGTCTCGTAGCTTGGCTATCTTGTGTATAAATTCTCTCTTGGCTGCAAACCTCAGCATCTCAGTATTTTGTCCTGC